GTTGTGGATGCAAATTTTCACCGTCTCTTCCTTTTAAAAAAATGCATTTGTAAAGTAATAACGCTTCAGATTAAGGTCAAAAGTCTTACGCGCCCACGATTAATGAGGGGGGTTTTTGATCGAAGAATCTCCGATGCTAAAATTAGAATTCTGAAGACATAATTTAGCTATGTAGATAGTGAAAGTCACCCAACTCTCCAGACCTAAGTTTCAGAACTTAAAATGTATTAATTGTTTTAGAGAAACTTTGAGTTATGTTATCTTAATTTAGTTTTACGATTGTTTTAACCTAAAAAAATTTAATTCCAACAAAATTTCCAAAACGAAACAAACTACACCAACCAACCACTAACTGACCAAACCTCAATGTACACATCAACCAACCAAACTTCAATACACAATACCAAATATGCATATTATTTTGACCGTTGAATTTAAATTTCAGCGTTGGATCGTTTTTACCATTGGATTTGACAAAAACAAATATGGATTATTTGATCAATTTCAAGGGATTGCCCAAAAAAGGGAGTTTGATCTGGACCATTGATAACCAATGGTCCAGAAATCGAATGGCCACAGTTATTGTTGGATAGTTGAGTTCCTGCCATGTGGGGGCTAGTTGTTGGCCACTAACTCTTAGATCAGCTAAATTTGAACCCAAATTTAGATTTAGATTTGGATCCAAACCCCAATTTTTTAGGTGGCAAAATTTTGAGTTTAAACTCAAATATTTGAGTTTGGGTCTATGGGCTGAAGTTGGTCTAATAAATCAAAAGCTAATTCTTTGAAAAATAGATATGTGGGACCATAATTTTCACCTCTCCAAACATAACATGTCCACATCTTAGAACTAATACAATGACGTCAAAGGAGAGGGGAAAATGAGAAGGAAACTCTGGAGAGTAGAGAGAAGGAAAAGGAGAAGGGAAATGTAGAAAAGGAAGGGGTGGGAATGAGAGAAAATTCCGGATAATAGAGAAAAGAAGGGAAAAGAAGAGAGGAAATTTCGGAGAATAGAGAAAAAGGAGAAGGGAAAAGAAGAAAAGAACAGGAGAAGGGAAAAGGAAAAGAGGGAAAAAGGAAAGGAAAGTCACATCCATCATTATGTCTACTAACTGTTTCCCATTTTCTTACAAATGGGAGTGAGAGACGGAAAAACAAGAAAAGAAAAACACATGGCCAAACATTCAAAAAATATACAAATACGCCAAAGAGCAAATTGCTCCCAATTTCCCTTGTTTCTTGCTTTGTAAATTATATTTTGTGTAAAGAGAAATCAGTATTGCTACTCCGAGGACGTTGGCACAACTTGTCAAACCCCGTCAATATTGTGTCTTATATAGGGCTAGTTCGGGTCGGGATCTCGAACCGAAACGCTCAATCCGAATCCCAAACCAAAACATTTCGGGATGAGATTTTATATCCCAACATTGAACCGAAAATATGCAATTCCCGAAATTCGGGATACCCGAAACTGTTTCGGGATTTCGGGTCGGTATTGGGTGGGAGCTGCCACAGAGTTCTCAATCTCTTGTGCAAACCAAAACCATGGAAAAACTTGCAGGTGGAGACTGAGGCGACAATGTTAAAGTTCAAGAGAGTTCTCTCTCTCCTCAGCCATGGAAGAGGAAGAGTGAGAAAGTTGAATAAAAACCTAAATTATATACATATACATACACTTACAGCACGCATGCAATAATCAAATATAAAACAAAAGGAATCCTTGCTGCCCATGATGCAGCTGCCACGCCCATGATGTGCATCCACCACGCAGAAAAAGTTTTTCTCAGAAACCCAGTTCCGGATGCTAATCTCAAGCTTCCCCTCCAAATTCCCAAAACAAAAACTTTGCAGCAACACCAGGAAGAGAGAGAAAAGTTGCAGTTTCACGGTGACTTAGATGGAGGAGCGGTGGGAGCAGTGTTCGGGAGAGTTGGAGTAAGCGACTGAGAGTCTGAGGAAGTGAGGAATACAACAAAAGACCTAACTCACAATGGACGGTTGGATTAGATCTTAACCAATCCAACGGTCCAAGTGATTTCTAATTAAAAATTAAAAATAAATAAATAAATAAATAAATATATATATATATAAAATATTCGGTTCGGTTCGGGATTACCGAACACTTTCAAAGGTGTGGCCGAATCCCAAACCGAAACTTTCGGGATCGGTTCGGTTTCGGGTACTTAATTTTCGGGAAATTCGGTTCGGGCATTTTTCGGTCAAATTTCGGGACGGGTTCGGGACTGTTTGGGATTTTCGGGAAAAAATTCCACCCCTAGTCTTATATACATTTCTCGTCATCTTATATATTTCGTATATATGTGCAACATATGTTCCAACAAGATCCTTACGTGTAGCTCAAACACTAACAGAAGAACAATATTTACAAAATCTACATGTGCGCAACATGGTTTGGTTGACGACAACAAGTCTATCAAGTGTTCGACAAAATGCCTTAGTGAACAAACTGAATTTTTTTTTTCTTTACATGCTTCCTTCTCTGTTTCTATCTAAAAACTTGGACCTAATACTGAGACCCTAAGATTTGAATTATGGACCAACCACTGCCTCAAGTGTTCTCTTTTGGTCCAGCCTATAATTATATAAAAAAAAAAGCATATAATTGCAAAACAATTCGATCAACCACCTCAAGTTCAACTATACATGTACCCAGATTCAGGTTATTCCAAACTTACCTTATAAAAGTAACTAAATATTACTGTCACATTATTATGCGGTTTTATCAAGTTTTAATTTTTATCTTATAATCACGTCATCTTTAAGATGATTGGTAACACTAGTTGGTGGATTGACGATTGGTAGAAATGGCTTCAACATTTCAAGGATGAGAAGTGAGTATGGAGCACCGATCAAAACGTGCTGTATTCTATCACAAAAAATCCGGATGCAATTAAAAGTGCATTTTATCACAAAAAGGTGAGCAACGAACGATCAACATAATTTGTAATTTATAAAATCACATATAAAACAAGAAGTGCTTTTTCCTTTTTCTTCGTCTCTGCCACTAGTGGCCGACCATGACTGAAAGAAACGCTTTTTGGGTCAATGCATGTGAACGCCCCATTTTATAATTGTTGGTAAATTTTCCTGGAAGTAGATAGGAAATTAGGAATGACCCAATTAAATATTTCCCCTGCACACAGACATTTGCATTGCACCTATCAAAGAGTTGTTTGTCCATCGATCCACATCAATGGCTCTTGTGAGAACATCTCAAGGAACCTCCTCTGATTCCAAAAAAATTCGGGGTTATCGCCACGACGTGTTCTTGAGCTTCAGAGGCGACACTCGCAAGACTTTTACCGACCACCTCTACACAGCCTTGAACAACGCAGGATTTAACACGTTCCGAGACGACGATGAACTTGAGAGAGGAGAAGATATAAAGCCAGGACTGCAGAAAGCGATCCAGCTGTCACGAGCTTCTGTTGTCGTGTTTTCGAAAGATTACGCGTCATCCAGATGGTGCCTTGATGAGCTTGTGCTGATCCTTGAACGCAAGAGGACCACCTCGAACCATGTAGTTTTACCAGTCTTCTACGATGTCGATCCGTCCGACGTGAGGAAGCAGACGGGAAGTATTGGAAAAGCATTTGCTAGACACGAGAAAACTCAGTCGCCGAAAAAGGTGAAGGGATGGAGGGAGGCAGTTGCAGAGGTTGCAGATCTAGCAGGCATGGTCTTACAAAATCAAGCTGATGGGTACCTTTCATTTTCTCCATTTCTCTCTTTCTTCTGTTAATTGATAATATGATCCGTAGGGACCTTGATTTTTATATTTTTTTTATTCAACCTCAGTAGTGAATAATAATCCCAATTTAGGTCAACTTAAAGAAATCACACTTGACTCAACTTAAGGATTAGTCATTTTCCATGTTAGTCTACTGGTTTCCAGTTGCTTAAAATGTTTCAAAAGCAGGTGTGGAAAAAAGTTGGTTGATTTATTAATTATCTAAATTCCCCAATTCATTATTCACTCTAAATTCCCCAATTCATTATTCATTCATCCAATACTTCTGTGAGACATAACATGTTTGATTTATTTTTCATTTTGTTTGTAAATTCTTAGGTATGAGTCAAAGTTTATCGAAAAAATTGTTAAAGTGATTGGAGGCAAGTTAGGTCGCACACCATTGAGCGTTGAACCAAAATTGATTGGAGTCAAATCTCAAGTCAAGGACATCAATTTGTGGTTACAAGATGGATCAACCGATGTCGGTATACTGGTTGTGTATGGCATGTCTGGAATAGGGAAGACAACCATTGCAAAACATGTTTACAATTCAAACTTTAGAAGCTTTGAACGAAGTAGTTTCATTGAAAATATCAGAGAAACAGCAAATCAACCAAATGGCTTGGTTCAAATACAAAGCAACTTCTTTTTGATATTTTGAACGACATAGAAGTGAAAATACATGGTGTTAGTGAGGGACTAAGAAAGATTGAAAGAGCCATAAGCTCTAGAAGAGTGCTTCTTGTTCTTGATGATGTGGACCATATGGACCAGTTAGATGCAGTACTAGAGATGAAAGATCGATTTTATTCAGGAAGTAAGATACTTATAACAACTAGGCGTGAAAGGTTGCTAAAGGCACATCAAGTTACAAAGGTGCACAAAGTTGGAACTTTGTATTACAGTGAGTCATTAGAGCTTTTCAGTTGGCATGCTTTTCGCCAGGATCATCCCCTTAGAGGTTACATGGAATATTCAGAAAAGGTTGTACACTACTGCGACGGACTTCCATTAGCTCTAAAAGTTTTGGGCTCTTCTTTATCAGGGGAAAGTATAGATGTATGGAAAAGTGCATTGGAGAAGCTAAAAGTTATCCCTAATGGTGAAATCATGAATAAACTACGAATAAGCTATGACAGTTTACAAGATGACCATGACCGGGAATTATTCCTCCACATTGCTTGTTTCCTAATAGGAAGGAACAAAAGCCACATTGTTAGAATATTCGATGGATGTGATTTCTATACAATTGTTGGCATTCAAATCTCATTGATAGATGCTTGGTGACAATTGATGGATGCAACAACGTGCAAATGCATGACATGATCCGTGACATGGGAAGAGAAATTGTTCGTCGCGAATCAGAAGATCCTGGAAAACGTAGTAGATTATGGCGCCATAAGGATTCTTTCGAAGTAATGAGGGAAAAGAATGTAAGAAACATGTCTTTTATGTCTATATGTATTTCTTCTTGTAAAAATTATCCATACTAACATTTTCGTTTTTGTCCTTTAGGGTACAAAAAAAATCCAAGGTCTTGTCCTGAATATGCGTATGCATCCTGCAAACAGTCCAATAAACACAACTGAGACAGTCTTGGAAACCAATGCATTTGAAAAGATGCGCAAATTACAACTACTACATCTTAGTCATGTACGACTGGATGGATGTTATGCAGATTTGCCTACAGGATTAAGATGGTTGTGTTGGCTTCAATTTCCTTTGGATTCTATACCTATTGAGTTTCCTTTGGGGTGTCTAATTGTTCTTGAAATGCAATACAGTAGATTGAGACAAGTCTGGAAAGGAAAAAAAGTACGTTACTCTAGGCATTTCAATTCAGTTTTTATTTTATTTTTTGACCAATTGCATTTGTTAAAATTAACTCCTACACATTTTTTTTTCTTCTTTGTTTTTATTTTACACAGTTTCTTCCATCGTTGAAGATCCTTGACCTCAGCCATTCCCATGCCCTCACTGAAATCATGGACTTCTCACTTTGCCCCAGTCTAGAAGAATTGATTCTTGTTGATTGCACCAGCCTGATTGATGTTCATGAATCCATTGGAAACCTGGAGAGACTCGTGTACTTGAATATGAAGGATTGCAAGAATCTTAGGATGCTTCCGAAGAACGTGTGTTTTCTTAAATCACTTGAAACACTCATTTTATCTGGTTGCTCAAATCTTGATGAGTTTCCAGTGGAGATGATGAAGAAGATGGAGTCTCTAAAAGTTCTTGAAATAGATAAAATTCCAATAAGAGAATTATGGCCAGAAAGAAGTTCAACTATCTTGAGTTCTTTTCCATGCTCTTTAGTAGAGTTGAATCTTAGTAGGTGCAATCTTTCTGAAGATGCCTTTCCTACGGATTTAAGTAATCTATCCTCAATACGAAGACTATATCTAGATAAGAATCCAATTTGTAGCCTACCAGTTTTCATCAAAGGTTTGAGGAGGCTCGATTCTCTCTCTTTCCAGAGTTGTACGAGGCTCAAATCGCTTGTGGGGTTACCGAGAATACACAAAAATATGAATGTATCCTTTTGCAAATTATTAAAAAAAGTAACATATCAATCGTTATGGTTCCAAGAAGAGGCCTTTGTGGAAGACAACTACAACATGGTTGAGTGGGAGTACTATTTCAAATTAGAGCTTATTGATAGAGTTGATGTGGAAATGATCAAACTTTTGGGCTTGTGCAACTTGGAATCCATGCCTGCAATACGAATGAACAGCGATCTATTCTCATGTTCAAAAGTGAGTCCTGTCCAGGTGCGCCTATCTCTCTCTCTCTCTCTCTCTCTCTCTCTCTCTCTCTCTCATAAGTCATATATATAATGGGAAATAAATGACTTAGTAATGTTGTGATGATCATGGAAAATGCGTAGGGACTGTATCAATTTGGTATATTCAGCACATTTTTTGTTGGGAAGGAGGTTCCAGGCCGGTTCAGCTATAAAAGTACCAAGTCCTCCATATCTTTTAGTGTCCCTTTACTCCCTTCTAGTCATAGAATCCGAGGCTTGAACATCTTTGCTACCTATGCAAACGAGGAGGATTCTGATAATGATGATTTTCCAATAATAATCAAAGTGAGTAACAAGAGCAAGGGTTTGAAGTGGATCTATTTCCCATTATTCTATGGTATCCCAGGTGACGGAGAAGATATGATATGGTTGAGCCATTGGAAGATGGAGAACGAAACAATATTACAATGTGGAGATCAAGTGGTGGTTTCAGTAATGGCCGGACCAGAGAAGTTGTTTCGTATAAAGGAGTTTGGTGTCGAGCTTATGCAAGAGCACCAGAATAATATGATGATAAGTACTCAACATAACACCAAATCAGATCCTAATTATCCAAATGTCTTCGGTGGAGATTTGTCCATGTGGGAGCATATACCAGGAATATACTTCCTTGGTTTCGATGACAAAATTGTTGAAGTGAAATGGTTTAATCACCTCATCATGGACGTTGATGAAGGAGACACAGGTATGCAATGAATTATACTCCATCCAAACACTTCCAAGTCCTTCTGTATTCAATTAAAAAACATAAATATTATGTTATTTGTTTGTTTTTCAGAGAAAGAAGGGCAGGAGGATGAACCTGATTACACAGTTTTAAGGACAAGGGCTGCCAGTAACAACTGTGGCCTCAGAGGCTGGAAGGTGCTCGTCACAGCTGCCGGATTATTTTTCACGCTTGCTCTTGTAGTTCGGTCCTCCATCTCCCAGAAAGAGAAGCGACAATAGTCCACAAGCCATCCATGAGTTTGTAATTTTATTCGATACAGACATCTTTGGGTTCCCTCCTTGTTTTCAAGATGTTTTCTGCCTTCAAAATATCGAAGTTTCCAGATGCGTTCAACATCATCAAATATTGCATAAAATACATCCAACATTAGCGATACTTACGAATTTTTCTTCCATGCCACTGATTGCATACAATCCCGTACTAGAGAAGATAAACAATGGGTATAGGGTTTAGGGTGAAAAAAAAAATGATTCTAAACATACAAGGGAAGGACTTTGACATAGGTATCTTTAGCAATACCAGGCAAGAATCAATTCTTCGAATTGGGGGAAAATATTTCGGCATCAAGGAAAGCAAAAACATCCTATCTGCTTATAAATGCCAAATTTACAGATATTAATTGTCATTTACAACAAAATCATACTTCTAAAAGACTCGGCTCCCATTGAAAAATTGTGTAACTTACATAAATATCAGTGCAACAGATATTAGATTGAATAATATATCAAATAAATTAACAGCAAACAATTTCTTAGCCTGAGATTCAAGGACTATACAGCTGATTCAACCTTGCATCGCTACTACACTATGGAAGCTGGTTTCTGCTTCTTCAACCCGAACAAATTATTGACGTCAAGAAGCATAGGAGAAACGACCATGGTCTCTGGAGCCATGAAATTTACTATCTTCTCATAAACATTATCCACGCAAAAGCATAATGCAATAAGCCTTGAACAATGTAGTCTAGTTTGCTCAACAGATGCTCCAAGATATTCCAAAACAAAATCACAGCAGTTTCACATAGGGAACCGAAGAATCTATTGATACCTTATCTTGCGACTATTAGAGGCTCTTCTGTCAACAATCTTCCTCTTCTTAGCATGCAACTTTTTCAAGGAATAAAATGATGTCAACAATCTTCCTCTTCTTCGAATTGGGGGAAAATATTTTGGCATTGGGGAAAGCAAAAACATCCTATCTGCTTATAAATGTCAAATTTACAGATATTAATTGTCATTTACAACAAAATCATGCTTCTTAAAGACTCGGCTCCCATTGAAAAATTGTGTAAATTACATAAATATCAGTGCAACAGATATTAGATTAAACTAGAAAATGTGCCCGCGCTTTGCTGTGGGCGTTGATGTATTTGTCGCAACAGGCTGAATAGTTTCCCCACAAAGCAACTAAAAAGACAACGTAACCATCGAAATCAAATTTTACTTGCTATATATGAATATGCATGCTATAAGAAACATCCATTTGTAGATTGTATTGTGTCCTCAATATCATAGTTTCAAGTAATCAGCCTACTACATGGAGGAAAAACACAAAATAGGGAAACTAGAAAAGTAGAAACATAATACTTGAGCATCTAGCAAGAATAGTAAATTCCTGAAAAAATTGCTAAACCGTTTTACAAATTCAATCGTTAAACGTTATACTGTAACCCAAGACAAAGATAAAGTATATAGTTTGTTTACAAATCAAAACGAAGTGCTGCTACAATCCACAACAGCTATGAATCATTTCCATATAAAGATACTCAAATTTGACGGCACATTGAATAACCATCAAGCAAAGCAAAATACACCATGTGCTGCTAACACGAAACTAAAACAAAAGGAGGATTAAAAATCGAATTTTTTTTTATAAAGCATCAATTGACAAAATGCTTCTTGATGTGGTCTTCCAAGAAATGAATGCAGCTCAAAAACAACTTAGAAAACACCTTAGAAATCTTTCTCACCCCAATCTTACTAAATAGAAGCATAAATGGACTGGATAGCTCCCTAATTTTGTAATAGAAACTCTAACAAAGAATATCAGGCTCCAAAGGCCATGACTTTTCCTTGGCATAAATCTATACATTGCAAGTTTAATTCCAAAGAAACAAATATGCGTGCAAAGTTAAAGGCATCAACGCTACATGTGCTGCTTACAATTGTCTCAAGTTGCTGACACAATGCCTAAAATATTCAAGACTCAAAGATTTTCATAGAAATAGAACACCTCACCAAAACAATAACCGAGGTTGTCGTTTTTGAATCAAGCAGATGCTTTGCAAGGCCTTCTTCAATATCGTCTCATATTCCCTTTTCATTTTTCCTATATAATACAATAAACTGTTCAAATCTAGACGTAAATAAGAGAATGCCACATGCTACTATCACAGTTGTCAGTCCTGAACAATAATGCAAGTCTAGTGGCAAAAACCACCTCAATGAACAACTCACACACACACACACACTGATCATACATCTCTAACTCTCTTTTTCAAATAACATACACTCTGATCCAAAACAGGGTATATAAAATGCACATCCTTATACATTTCTAACTTTCTTTTTCGAAATCCAAAATAGGGTATTCTAACTCTCTTTTTCATTCATTTCTCACAAACCAATCATACATTTAAAATAGGCTTTGAATAAAAATAGAGTATATAATTATATACCTCAAAATGCCTAGGAACCAACTTCCCTCTCCAACGTTTCAAATTCCTGAAATTTCCAACACAGTAAATCCATTAGTACTATATAAATGAAAACACAATTGAAACCCATCAAACAAAACAATCCCACAATTTAAATGATTCAATCCTACTGCAATTGAAATTCACAGAAAGAATGAAAAACCAGAACAAAACTGCAGCACCTAAAAAGTTGTCACACAAAAAAACATGGAATGTAAAAATATTTCAAGAAATCTAGTTCGTTAATTTCCAGCTGCTAAGTGGCATTATGTAACTTTAGTGGTATAACCCAATAACTACTTATCTGGTGGGTTGCACTTTTCTTCCTATTGGTAAGGAAAGGAAAATAAAAATCAACCCCTTGGTCTTAGTTGTGGCTGCAAAGTGCAGGCCACCACCAAGTCTAAGTGTTTGTGTTTTAGCAAAACACTTAAATAAATTAAATTCTGAAATGTAAATTATATTCCTATAACTTTAAGATGCACATATAGTATTGTTGAAGTCAAACTGAAAGCACTGACAATTCCAAGCAACAGAGCAGCGATTATTAAGAGCCAAAACTCAATCCTAGTCTCCTCATCCTGGTACTCAACTGCATAATCTTCGCTCAGCATCGTTGACTGAAATTAGGAGAGAAAAAGAAAAGGAATTTCAGAAATTGTCTATGAAGCAAAGGATACTGCAGTTGCTTCAAGACATGTAAATTGCATATGTATAAAGTAATTTTCTACATTAAGTAACGAGGCTTAAGATGTTGCAGATAGGATAAAACGCCAAATGCTACATAGAAGTTTCTATAGAGTATTTTACATCTAAATGCTATCTTAAATTGCCATTAAGTATTTTACAATTTGCTGCACTGGGTTGTATACAATAAGAAATAGGATTCAGATGCATGCTATGTTTATGGTATGGGTTACCAGATATGTAAACAATCAATATGGTGTATGTGAATGTGAATGGTAGCTCTTTTAAATTGTAAGAAATGCCAACATATCATGTATAAGTGACCTTTAACATTGACATTGTTAGAGATTTTTGTGCAAGAGAGCTATTGTATAAGTGCCCCATATAAATGATTATGCAAAAGATATGTTGGCATTTCTTACAGTGAACTTATGTCATATGGCATGTATTACATTTCAAGGTCCTCATTAACACTTGAAAAATCTTGGACACATAAAGCTGAAAAATGCAAATAAGTAAATTGCTTTGAAAAATATATTACGATGATATTACCTTCCCAATCACAACTCTTTTGCATCTTGCCAAATTTGTTGGACTCGGATGTAAAATTTTTCGACATTGTATTGCCAGGAGGACCCAATTGGCCTGATTAAAAAGCACTCCTTTCCCAAAACCTTTGAACTGTTCAGAGTCCAAATTCCAGAAAACAAATGCTAATCAATAACCAATTAATACAGGGTAATCATTGAAATTAATGTCCAGAATTCACTAATGTCAAATTTACAGCCAAAGGAGCAATCAATTTACTGAACTGTAAGGAAAAATGTGCACAGAAAAGTATCTAATTTCACAAAATAAATGAAACCATATCAAATGTCATGATATAAACTAAGAACTCGAAAGCTTAAGCAAAACCCACTCTCAACAATGTTGTTAAAAATAAAAATAAAAAAATAAAAAAGTTGCCTTTTCATTCATAATTTGAATTAATTCAAAATTGCAAGCAAGATTTTCACCTGAGCATTGCTTTCTCCCATTAGAATTTCCTTTACTTTCTCGCATAACATTCTCACCTACAATGAAGCAATGAAGAATCGATCATGTACAGATAAGACAGTAAAAGTCCCAGATTATACTTTAGTTCACATAGTTTTGTATGTGTATAAGATAATTCATTTTGAAAAATACAACTGCCTTATCTTAGAGTGGCAATACGACCGCTTTATCTATAGTCAATCGCTAAAATATTTATAGGATCCAATCCATTTTTAAAATAAATGAGAAGCATGTCATAAGACAATTTGGTTCTTCACCTAATCAGCTCAAAGTTCCCTAACCAAAATACATTCTTCGACTGAAATAGATATATGAGACTTTAAGTACCCCCTCTTTTTATGCCATATCTAACTAATTTCATGTCATTCCGAAAATGGTCTATTTACCATTTCCTGCAAAATACAGATTAGATCTTGTAGTAAATTTAGATTTAGTACGGCATTTGATTTAAAATCACAATAAACAGAAACTGAATTACATCACTACAAACACAAATAAAAGAAAATGAAATGTTTCCCATTTGGTGGCTAAGAAAACCAAAAAAAGTATATAACTTTTTCCCCTTAAGAAAAAACACATAAAAATTCCACCAGAAATTGCAATTCCCACAAATCCACAACAAATCAAGAAACCCCATGACCCCCATCTTCTTTCCCACATTTTCCAGACAACCAAACAGACCTCAACCCAACCCTAATTCTGAAATCACTCAACAATGGTCGGGGAACGCATTTATATAAGATGAAATTAGAATTTGGGTTGGAGAGAGTTACCAGCAGTGTCCCATAAGCCTAAGTTTGCAGTTGTGCCTTCAACAACCACATTTGCACTTAAGTTATCAAACACAGTTGGTATATAGTCCAGATGAACACAAAAACAATTGAAAAACAAAATCAAATTACTTGGAAAGGGAAAGGGGGAAAAAGCAAAGCAATTTATCTAGCGAGAAAAAGAGAGAGAGAGAGAGAGAGAGAGAGATTTGTGAATTGAATTCTTGAAAACAACAGAAAAAAGCTGCAAAACCAGATGCATAAATACATAAAGTAATTCAAAAAACCAAAAAGTCACACAAGTTAGTCAAATGTGAGAGACCCAGAAGGATCTTCTTGGCAGAAAATAAATAAAAATCGTGAGAAGAATGGGCAAACATGGAGCCTGGAAGAGTCGACCTCGGCAGCTGGGCAGCCTGTGAGAGCAGCTAAGAGAACAAAACAACCCTTGTTTTAAGAATGGCACATGCGTTCCCCTTAAACCTACCCCCCCCAAATGGCACAGCCTACCCGCATACTTCTCCCTAACTTTTTCTCCATAAACCCATACCTCCCTCCCGAAAATCCTCTACCCTACCCCATACTCCCCCCATCTCTCTCTCTCTCTCTCTCTCTCTCTCTCTCTCTCTGCAACAGACCAAGTTGCAGAAAACCCTCTGAGCCATCAAATCGACCTACCCCTAACCCAAGTTACAAAATGACTAAAACGCCCCCTAATCCTGTACGTTGGATACGATTTAGGCACGTTCAAAACCAGTAGCTCTTTCAATTTTTTTCTAAAAGAAGAAAAGGAAAAGTGTTCACTGATATTGTGCATCCAATATACTGGTTTCTTGTCTACCTTCTCCTCCTAACCCTTTTATCAAAAACCCATCTCATTCTTTCCCTCAGAGACTTGAAACCCAATCCTTAACAGTCCATTTAACACCTCCTAATATAAATTCCTAACAAAATAAATGCAAAAGCAAAATCAGCAGCGCTTTCAAATATTTTAAAGGAAAAGTGGAAAACTATTATCAAGAAAGATGCAAACGAAATGTTTTCATCACTGATATTGAAGAAAAAACGAAGTGTATTAGTATATTTATCTTTCCCCATTCCTTGTACAGTTGAGGAATTTTTTCTTGACATCTGAACGAAAAATGACGCTACACACACTCAATTACAACACACAGAAGCTCGTAAACAAATTATCATTTCCAAACTGCCATGAGAGATTACTAATCATAAACTATGTAGAAGTTGAAATTCAATCCAAAATAAACATTAGGCATATCATCAAAAACCAGTAGCATAACTACCCTATTCAAAAATGCCTATTTCACAAAACATTTAATGCATATTTTACTTCAGAAAATTCTGCAAAACCACAATTGAACATACGGATCTCTAAATAATTCAGGAACCAATCAAAGCAGCTGAATACACATGGTAAAATAAGTGTTTCAGTTTGCATTTGTATTCTATAAACTTTACATTAACAAAATACATTTAGGGATTAGTACTACAATGACATTGCTGCAACATCAATTACAAATCTTTTAGATCAAATAAACAGAGTAGATAGAGCTCGTACCCGAAGTGAAGCATATGATCAAACCCTCCTCAGGTGGCCGAGTAATTGAATGGCGGCGCAGCCCCTACGGAATGTTTTTTAATCGATTCAGTAGTTAACACTGGCCAAATGCACAATACATATCTTAGAAACTATTCTCAGTTAAAATCCAAAGAAGTTAGATAAAAAACTACCTCTAATCTTTGTTTCTCTTGTACTTTGGTATTGCAGGGTTGACCTGTAAACGGTAAATGAAGTCCTGAAAACCAAAGAATAAAAAGCCTTTTTTCAGTTAACTAAAAAAAGCACACTATAAACGGAGTGAGATATCTGGTAACCAAAAAATGAATTTTGGAAAGCAGACAAACAAACTTCAATCAAAATTACTTTAATACATTTAGATATCAAGGAAAATTAAATTTATTCAATTTCGATATAAAGAAAATTAATTAATGCAGGAACAACATTTGTGCCTCAATGACGTGAGAAGTACTCAAAACAGACATTGTTTTCTTTAAGTCTTTAGTCTATCTCTGCAAATCGCAATAACTCATATCCATTGAGAATCAAATTAACTAATTAACTTACTAACCCCTCCTGTAAATTTCACACCTATGCTCTAAACAGATTTTGTAACTAATATCCCAAAAAATGGGCAAAAGGGAAGGAAAAAAACCTTTGTATGGTAACTGCAGTGTTATCTGTGTAACCAAAGTCAAGCGGTGAAAGGCCAGCAACCTCCTTGTATACTTGGAAATCTGTTGCGGATTTTATAGCTCCAGAAGAAAATTTATCCTGCACCATTAATATCATTTAGACTTAAGTATTTTTCCTAAGTGAATACACATGCCAAGTATCAAAGAGAGAAAGGAGAAAAATTATCAAAATAAGAATTACACACCTGTCCTATAATTGTGGCCAGACGATACGTTCTGGCAGTAGAATTCAAGGACTGATCACAAACAAAAAAGTATGTCAATTTCCAAAACAATTGTATCCAAACCCAATAAATCCATAAGAAATTACTCCATCACTTGCAGAAAATTCAAAATTACCATTTGAAATACCAGTGGCATAGCCTCTTGAGCTTCCAAGCCTAAAAATTCCAAAAAATATGCAATCTTTGAAATACCCATTTCAATTAAACATAAGAAGAATTTTCCTTTCCAATTCAAAGCTTTGGAAAAATTGAAATTTTCAAATGCTCAATGACTAAGCAGGACATTAACCAATCAAATCCTAAACCCACAAAATCAATCCTAAAACAAAACCTAATTAAGTGCTATGTACATATATAACATGTTAGCTTTCTACTTTAAGAGAAATTATTAAATTGGGGAAGTGATCAAATGGGATGGGTCTTCCCTATTAAGCAGCATTAATCTAAGATTAATTCCAACAAAAGAAAACAATATGATCAAGATCAAGAACAATGCATGCAACAAAGAGACAGAGTGTGGAAATTAGCAGGGTGGTAGAATTCCATACATAGAGATCTTGAGCGATGTTGGAGATCTCTTCCTTAGCTTTCTTAGAAACCCAAAACCTCCTAAGCAAGGTTTCAGCATACGAACTCCTACCCAGTCAACCTCACACAAAATTAGTTCAAAATTAAACATCTAGTCCCCAAATTAACAAAAAAAAGAGACAAAACTCTTTTGTCTGTAGTGACTGATGTGGGTATACAATCCCCATTGTGATCCCCTTGTGTGGGAGGGCAGATCTTCCCGTGCCCTCCTGTGTCATTCTGTTTGTGTGGTTACGGTTAAGCCACGTCAATATTTTATATTACTATTCTTTTTTGTCTTATTATCTCTATAAAAAAACAATATAAAATGTTGACGTGGCTTAACCGTGACTACACAAAACAGGAGGGCACAGGAAGTGGGAGGGCAGAGAATCTGCCTCCCCTTTTGAGTTATGAATGAAAAACTTATCTTTCTGCATTATTTTCCTTTTCTCTGCAACTTTTCCTTTTCTTGTAACTTGTCCCCCTTGAGGCGACTGGAACCTACCATTTGGTATCCAGAGCCCAGGTGTGCATCCATGGGCAAAAGTAAGGCGTCGGTCACGGTGGCCGACGTGACTGAGGCTGGACCGTGAGTTTCAGCAACACCAAATCCTCACTCAGCTTCAAGACTTTCAAGAGTCTTTCTCCATGATGACCGTCCGCCAGGATGACCTCCAACAAGCCATCGCCGACCTCTGTCCATCGGATCTGTCAAGACCAAGTGCAACAGATGATTCTTGACGCGATTCGCGCCCTAAAACAACCCACCCAACCTAACCCCCAAATCCCAATCGGCTCTATCCCCATCTCTCTCGGACCCACCCCTTTCTCTGCCGCCTACTCTCTCATCCCACCGTCCACATGGGGTTTCTTCACCTCCTCTTCCGTACCCATAACCTAACCTCTAGCATCACGCATGGTCATCGGCCCTTCGTCCCTCCCCTTCACACCACCAATTTCCACCATGACTCACTCCTTGGGCCAACCCTTCATCTCCCGTTACCTTCCCCCACCCTTTTCCGGACTTAACCCCTCTTCCTTGACCCACGACCTCTACTCTGGTCACCCATACCCACCCACTTCACCGACCTTCTCGGGACCCAAAACATTCAAAATCGACCTCCCTCGATTTTTTGGGGAAGATCCTTATGATTGGCTTGCAATGGCAGAAGAGTTTTTAGACTATCATGAGATAGCCGAGCACTGACGAGTCACAATGGCTGGACTACATCTTGGTGGCGACACGGCCCATTGGCTCCGTTGGTACAAAATGAGGTTCCCCCTCTCTTTTTGGGCCAACTACTGCAGCGATTTGGACCGGCAGACTCATTGAACTTCAACATGGCCCTGTCGCACATCACCCAAACCACCATTGTGGAGGCGTATGTCGGTCAGTTCATTCACTTTTTGTGCCGTACTCCGGACTGGACCGATGCTCAACTTCTGGGAGCGTTCTTAGGCGGTCTCAAAGACGAGTTATAGGATGATGTCGTGGTCCAAGAGTCGTCCTCTCTGGCGCGTGCCATCGAACTAGCTCGAATCTACGAGCATAAACAGGGTCGTCGGCCGGTACCTTTTGCTGGGAGTTTCCGTTCCTCAACCTACAACTCTAAACCATAATTTTCCTCCCTACCCAACCCCACTACACCATCCACTACCTCTCGGCCCACTCCCACTGCCACTAATCCTACACCCACTGAACCTATTTGACGGCTCACACAAGTAGAGATGCGCAACCGTCGAGAGCAAATGGCTCTGTTTCAACTGCGACGAACAATATCATCCGGGCCACCGGTGCTGCCACACCCACATTATCATGTTGTTGGCGGATGATGACAAACAGGCACATATTCCAGAACTTGGGGACCCCACTCTGCATCTTCCCCCCGTGGTAGAATAGATGGAGCACCTCATCGCTCTCAACACTATCTCCGCCACTAAACGTGTCCGAGGCCGCGCTATGCGCTTGGAGGGCTTCATTATCCACACTCCAATTCAAGTGTTTATTGACTCCGGGGTTGATCAAAGTTTCCTCAATCCATAAGTGGCGGCTCACTTGGGATTATAAGTCAACACTTCTACAACCGAGGCAGTTATGGTAGCTACAGGGTGCTGTTTCTGCACCAAAGGGGTGGCTCACCAAGTTCTGGTGTGCCTCAAGGAATTTACTTTTACTAGCGATTTCCACCTTCTCGCAGTGACGGGTTGCGATATGGTATTGGGTGTGGATTGGTTAGAGACATTGGGTCTCATTGGTTGGAACTTTTTACTTAAGATTATGGAGTTCTCAATGCAAGGAATGAACTATCGTTTGGTGTGTTCTTCCACTTCGTCTGCGCTTCCTTCCACAGTGCAGCATAATGTCACTACTTTAGGTGGTTCTCTTCTACAAGCCGTACCACAGCTGGCCACTCTCACCACAACGGTAAGCTCTCTTTCCCACCAACTAGCATTCAGTCACTCATCACCATGAATCACGAGCTCTTTCAACCACCAACATCTTTACCCTCACACCGGGAGATCAATCATAGAATCCCATTACTTCCAGGCATGATACCAATAAATGTTCGACCATATCGTTACGGGCATGCCCAAAAGGCCGAACTTGAGCGCCAAGTCGACAAGATGCTTGCAGCCGGCATCATCCGCCCTAACATGAGTCTTTTTTCTTCTCCAGCATTATTAGTGGCCAAGAGCGACTCAACATGGCGTTTTTGTGTGGACTATCGAGCGATCAATGCAGTTACCATTAAAGATTACTTTCTCGTTCCTATTATTGACGAACTCTTGGCAGAATTGCAGGGAGCGATGATATTTTCTAAACTGGACCTCCGCTTCGGTTACCACCAAATCCGCATGTACGAACCGGACATCCATAAGACAGCGTTCCGCACACATGAGGGCCACTACGAATTCACCGTCATGCCCTTCGGTCTCACCAAGGTGCCGACAACCTTCCAAGCCTTGATGAGCTCCATCTTAAAGCCACTGCTACGAAAATTTGTTTCTCGTTTTTTTTATGATATATTAGTCTTCAGTGACTCCTTGGATAACCATGTCTCACATTTGACTACTGTCTTTGATATTCTCCAACAGCACCGCCTCCGTTTGAAACCGTCGAAGTGCATCATTAAGTAGAATTATATTGCTTACTTGGGCCATATCATTTCAGATTGTGGAGTGACCATAGATCCCTCCAAGATAGTAGCGATTGTAGAATGGCCGACTTATTCGAGCGTCTATACTCTCCGCGGGTTCTTGGGCCTCGCCAGCTATTACCGCAAGTTCATCCGTCATTTTGGTCTAATTGCCAAGCCCCTCACGGACTTACTCAAGAAGGACAGCTTCTTTTGGTCCCCCACAGCAGACACAGCTTTTTCGGCCCTCAAGGTGGCATTATCCACAACTCCGGTCCTGGCGCTCCCCAATTTCACCAAGTCCTTCACCTTGGAGTGCGACGCATCCAACGTCGGCATTGTGGCAGTGTTGTCCCAAGATAATCACCCAATTGAGTTCCTTAGCAAGCCATTGGCACCCAAACACCAATCACTTTTGGTGTATGACAAAGAAATGCTAGCCGTGGTGTTTGCCGTCCAAAAGTGGCGTTCTTATTTAATTGGACACCACTTCACCATTCTCATAGACCACCAAACTCTTAAGTACTTCTTGGACCAACGCATCACCACTCCGTCATAACAAAAATGGTTGCTGAAACTCCTTGGGTACAACTACACTTTGGCCTACCGATCCAAAGCTTCCAATGCCGTAGCTAATGCCTTATCCCATTGGCCCGAGCTCCTATCCTTGATGGGACTCTCGCAACTGCTCTTTGGTTGTGTGGCTGAAATTTAGGCCTCCTATACCATCGAGGTGATTAAGGTGTTGCAACATGATCCAAACAATAAAGGCTCATTCCGGCTACAGGGAGACCTTTTATATTACAAGTCAGGTATCTTTGTCCCCGCTATGTCCCCGTGGCACTCCCAACTCCTCCAGGAGTTCCACACTTCGCCTTCTTCGGGCCACTCCGGATTCTTGCTCACCTACAAACGCCTCACGCATAACTTCAATTGGCCCGACCTCAAAAAGGATGTCAAGAGCTTTGTAGCTGCTTGTGATGTGTGCTAACGCACCCATTATGAAACCATTAAGCCACCAGGTCCTTTGCAGCCACTATCCATTCCAACCCAAGTCTGGACAGATATAGCCTTGGCGAAGGTCTTCCCTCGGCTCATGGTCGAAATGCTATATTGGTAGTAGTGGATCGTCTCTCCAAGTACAAGCACTTCATCCCTATCAAGCATCCTTATTCAGCCCCCTGATAAGATTAAAAGCACACCACAAAGTAGCACACAAATGTCCTATTGATTTTCCTTATTAACACTAAGATTTGTCAATTGTAGCATATGAAAATAAGGGTATTTCCCGCAGAAGATTGTTTTATCTAACTACTTAAAATGTCACAAAAACTGGTTGCTGTCCCTACTGACCAGCCACCGAAAAATAATTATTAGACCGACTTACACTTATCTAAATTCTACGAAATTTTATATGAAGACACTAGACACACAGAGCTACACTTGTACAAATTTTTGGGATTTTTGGAGTTGATTGCTATTTAAATTAAATTGAACAAAAACAGGACAGAAACAAATTTTAAGTAGTTCACAAATTAAGAAAAACGAGTTAGGGGAATTGCTACCCACCACCAAATAATCATGCAAACATGTTATGTTTCATTCAAATTCCTTTTATTTCTGGATGAAGATGCTCAAGTTGGCTTAATGTTAGAACTCAACCTATTACTCTTTCTTATGTAGTATGTTAAGAGAATGGCGTTTTCAACTTAACTTAGTCCCTAGCATGCAATCTAGAATGGCGTGTTCATAGATTTAACAAGTAAAAATCATTAAGAACGAAAAGAGTTTAAGTCATCACAAGGCATCGTAAGTACTGGCGTTGTCTTACTTATCCTATAAATTTGTTCACATGTTAATCGCAATTAACAAGTACTACTCTAGAACATATGTAGGTCCTCATTCGACAAGGGCAGGCACACACATATTCATAGCGTTAGAATTCTATATATGCTTACTAAGTATGCATCCATAGAAAACAAATAAAGAATTCATCAATG